GCATGTGAAGCCGCCTCCCCAGGCTAGGTGCTGCCTATATCACTTTAAAAAAAACCGGCCAAGAGCGTGTCAAACACGCCCACAAATAGGGTTTCGTAGTCAACGTTTAAATATCAGGTTGTACAAAATATCAGCGTTACAAAGTTAATTTTGTTGCTGGTTTGTTTGCAGCTGTATAGGAACCAATCGCAAAAAGAAAATCTTTTATTTTTCTGAAGTCTGTATTGGTACAGTATCCGTTATAGATTGTAAACTGTATTTCATATTTTTTACTAATTTATTGCGTTTATACTTTAGAAGATACAGCTGGAACAAATTATGGGTCAAAAATATCCCTTTCAAAAGCAAATATCTCGAGACAGAAACATATACTTAAGTGACTTTGTTTCAAGGAAACCTCCCTTAGTTTTTAAAGACCTATTCAACGATACCCTATTCAATATTACAGGAGAAAATATTATTTTTTTGCTTCCCTTTCACTTGTATGGGAGGGGGGTCCAAAAAACATTTGAAATATTTTTCTTTAAACCCTAAAAATCATGATTCGATGAACAGTCGATATTCTACTGAATCATACTTTTGAAAAAAATATGCATGGACGTTAAACTATACCTACAGACTCAGATGTCTTTTATTTTCCTATACCAACCGAAATGCGGGTGATGAAGCCGGCATCATTTCATTTCGTCATCACTAAATAGAAATTCCATACAATTAAGATACAATATCTAATACGCTACGCCACAATTTAATAAAGATAACCCATAATAAGGTGCATTATCGAAGCATTAGCATATTCAGTATTCTATTACCGTGTCTATATTATACACGACATCTTCCATTTGGAAGATGAGAAAGGTACAATCGTGCACAAAACTCTTAGGCGAGAAACTCACGTAGGTAATGTCCACTCTACAAGCTTGTGGTGTCCGCTTGTGCGTTATTTTTGCGCTGCGTTAGAACAACACGTATCACGACCTCATTTCCATACAAATACGGTTTATTTCAAACGGTTTGACAGACGCATCCATTGTATGATGCGCAGCGCTAGCGGATGTGTCTGTCAAACGTTTGACATAAACCGTATATTTGTTTGACAATACGACTGTAAAAAACTAGCCAAGTCTCGACGGAGTTGCTTGTATTCCTTAGACAAAGTTATGCCAAGTCTAAGGTTTCTTGATGCTATTTCTTTATAGTCAATAAAAGCATACCCATGTGATGAGAATCCTATGGCAATTAGGTATTTGCCAATAAAGAGATGCTCATGTCAAGCTATGTCCAGCAGGGGCCTGTGGTGGTGGTTCTTCTTCTTCTTCTTCTTTTCGTGTGGGACACCGAGTCGTTCAACGACCCGATGAACCCTGGTGTCAGAGTTTTTCAACCGCCTACTACAAGTAGCAGGCCTCTGACATGGCTGTGTAACGACCGCCATCATAGACAGCAACCGGGACCGACGGCTTAACGTGCCCATCCGAAGCACGGAACCATCTTAGACTGTAGGCGAAATATTGAAAAGTCGTCTCCTTCTTGAATTCTGTGCCACCCTCTTATAAATGGCTAAGACTGGTATCGATAGATTCCTTGTGCTCTACAGAACTTGGATATGCCTGTCTTAGTTGAAGAAAATGGTGCGTTTGACATCTGTGACGTCACAAAGATGGCGGCCGACCGTTTTATGTTTTTGTAAATATCTCATGTTTTAAGGCATCGATTTAAATATTTGATATGTCATATAAAAGGTATTATTATTATCTACAATCACTTCTTTGATACCTACTACCTAAGTGTAGGGGTTGTAAAAATATTTATAAAAGTATGTGCTTTTTCTTGTCACAGTTGCACTTTATTAGAAAATATGGCCACTATAACTTAATTATGAGATGCTTTACCTGATACATTATTATTTCAAATAAAAGCTTGTTTCATTACCTTTCCAAAAATATATGTAACACTGTTGTACGAAATCAAATAAACGATTTATGACTATTACAGTGAATAAAGTGCCTGCTCCGCGAATGATTAAAAACACGGTTGAGCGTTTTATGATTTTGATAATATCTCAAGTTTTAAGGCATCGGTTTCAATGTTTGATATGTCATATTATAGGTATTTATATTGTCTACAATCGCTTTTTGATACCTACTACCTAAGTGTAGGGGTTGAAAAAATATTTATAAAACTATGTGTTGTTTCTCGTCACAGTTACGCTTTATTAGAAAATATGGCCACTATGACTCAATTGTGAGATACTTTATCTGATACAATATTAAGTCTGTTTCATTACCTTTTCAAAAATATAAATAACATTGTTGTACAATATGAAATACACGATGTATGACTATTAGAGTAAACCAAGTGCCTGCTCCGCGTATGGTTAAAAACGCGGTTGAGCTGTTTATGATTTTGTTAATATCTCAAGTTTTAAGAAATCGATTTCAATGTTTGTTATTGGTAAGATAGAAAGTCGTTCAACATTTTTAGGGATTCGTAGACTACTACGTTTGTCTTGTTAGGTATTTCGTTAAGTCTGTCTGTCTATCTGTCTGTTTGTATGGCCCGCATTCATAACTTTGTCAGTTTTATACCTATCAACATCAAAATTGCTGTGAAGATAGATCGTATTGTCCCGAATTTAGAAATTTTATCAAAAATCAAATTAAATGTTTTTTGGACCCCCTACCATACGTGTGAGGGGGGTGCAATATTTTTTTGCCTTAAATATTGAGTAGGGTATCATTGAACAGGTCTTTTTAAACTAAGGGAATTATAATTAAAAGAAAACTCAATAAAATGTTTCTGTCTTGAGATATTTGCTTTGAAAAGGTACATTAGACGTACCTTTTCAAAGATAAGATATTTGTTCCAGCTTACTGCTAAAGTAGATATTAACACTAAAAATTTGAAAAAAATATGGAATATAGTTCTCAACCCGAAGTCACCATGAAAACTATAACAGATCCTGCCTGTACTACTCAAGTATAAAGAAAAATTTAAGTTTTTCAATATGCGGTTGGTAACCATACCTACAGCTGTAAACAAACCAGCAACAGAGTTAATTTTGTAACGCTGAAAAACCTGTTACACTTTGACTATGATACCCTATTTGTGAACGTGTCTGACACACTCTTGGCCGGTTATTTTATAGGAATTTACGCCCATGTATCTTTATTTACTTTTGTAACTTTAGTAAAGTATTAAACAAATAAAAAAACAAACATTTACTTCTTTCAATATTTCATAAACCACTAAACTTAAGCAGTAGGTATGTAAAAAGTAATTGTAGACAATATAAATACCTTTAATATGACATATCAAACATTGAAATCCATATCTTAAAAAGCGAGATATTAACAAAAACGTAAAACACTGGGCCGCACTTTAATCATTCGCGGTGCAGGCACTTGATTCCTTGTATGTAATAGTCATAAATCGTTTGTTTGGTTTCCTACAACAGTGTTGCATATATTTTTGAAAAGGTAATGATACAGGCTTTTATGTTAAATAATATTGTATCACGCAAAGTATCTAATAATTTAGTTATAGTAGCCACATTTCCTAATATAGTGCAACTGTGACAAAAAAATCACATGCTTTTGTAAATATTTTTACAATCACAACACTTAGGTAGAAGGTATCCACGAAGCAATTGTAGACAATATAAATACCTTTTATATGACATATCAAACATTGAAATGCATATCTTAAAAAGCGAGATATTAACAAAAATGTAAGACACTCGACCGCATTTTAATCATTCGCGGCGCAGGCACTTGATTCATTGTAATAGGCAAAAATCGTTTGTTTGGTTTCCTACAGTAATGTTGCATATGTTTTTGAAAAGGTAATGATATAGGTTTTTATTTTAAATAATAATGTATCACGCAAAGTATCTCATAATTGAGGTATAGTGGCCACATTTCCTAATAAAGTGCAACTGTGTCAAAAAAACACATACTTTTGTAAATATTTTTAGAACCACAACACTTAGGCAGAAGGTATCCAAGAAATAATTGTAGACAATATAAATACCTTTTATATGACATATCAAACACTAAAATCGACGTCCTAAAACTTGAGATATTGACAAAATCATAAAACGCTTAGCGGCCATCTTTGTGACGTCACAGATGTCAAACGCACCATTTTCTCTAACTAAGACAGGCATATCCGAGTTCTGTAGAGCACAAGGAATCCAATGATACCAGTCTTAGCCATTTATAGAAGAGTGGCACAGAAAATCTCAAACTGCTCAATCGCCTCCAGACTATCTTACTTGCGGACAATCAGGTGGTTCAGCCTGCAATGTCCTAACCAGACTGGGAACAAATTCACAAAGTGATAAATATCAACTTTGTGAGTGACCCCACCGGGAATTGAACCCGGAACCTTTGCGTGGCAGGCAGGCATACTAACCACTGCGCCACATCGGTGGTGGTGGTTGATGCAGCAAGTCATTTCACTGTAACATTTTTCAATTTACCTGTACCCTGCCAAAGTAAATAGAATTTCCCAACATACAGAATGCATATAGAATAGGTACTCATATAAGATACCTATAAATATTATCATAAAATTGCCTAACACATCAACATAACTAAGTGTAAGTATAAAATAAATAGTATTGGATCAGGTTTAACAAATAACACAAAAGATTCGATTCTCGCGAAAGCATTACTTAGGTAGTAATTTCTGACACTTTTTCAAATGATTAGACAGGTAAAAAGAAGGCAGATAGTCGCTTGAAATCTCTATGCCTTGTTGACTGGTTGACGACCTATCACAATATAACATTTAATAATTTATATTTTTATATTTACATAGAAATATAGATAGAAATTTAAAAGTTTAGTTAGGAAAAGTAGTGTGTACCTACCTATCTTAGACCACGGGGATGAAGGGTTTTCAAGTCATTTAGTAAAACGGCTGAACAGAGAGAATACTTTCCAAACTGACTGGGAACAAATTCACAAAGTGATAATTATTATCAACTTTGTGAGTGACCCACCGAGAATTGAATCCGGAACCTTCTGCGTTGCATGTAGTCGCACTACCACTGTGCCACATCGGCTGTCAAATGACACTAAGTATGGGTTAGGTACTGGCCCTAAGTAGGTACTTATTAGGTAAGAAAGTGTCAGTCAGAATCGAGTCCATCGCGACATTTTTGTATTACGTTGATATCCGTTGCTAATTAACTGCTTTACTTTGCCTGCGTACCCATTGAGCAATGGTTAGATATGGTAATTGTATTGGTTAACTTGTGGTGTTATAGGATAGGTAGGTTTGTTACGGTTCGTTCTCGCTTGTAAAATGAAATGAATTTTGTTATTTTCAGTAAGTTACGTCTTTACATTAGCTGTGAGCGTGTGTGTGTGTATAGGTACATAAGCTTACATTTTAGGTACTGTAAGATGCTGAACAGTACAAGAAACCTACTCGTAACACATAATGTGATAGATAACAGTACCTAGCCAAGCCTAAACCTAAACCTACCGGGAAGTTATGGCACGCATTATGTACCTATGTATCAGAGGCCAGCAGTAGGTGCTTTAAATTCACCCTAAAGTTCTTTGCCCTTGTGACTTCAATAAGACAAGGAAACGTGACCTACCTTGTTGACAGGTAGTAGGTACCTATTTCGTGTCGAGCTGCCATAACCACACCATAACAGTAGATCATGCTTATCAGATTCACAAAATTAGGTAGTTCACAGAGGGATCACTCGACCCCATTTAGGATTTTCGCGATTGTCACTTGTTACATAGCCAGGGTTGCTAGATTCAATACGAGGACGAAATACCTACAGCTCTAAATCTGATACAAGAACGTCATAATATTAATGCAAGAAATATGAAGTTCGTGACAACGATCTTCTTAGTTAACTACCTTTGAGTATCTCTGAGATTCCAGTAAATCTCAGTAAGTGTCAAAATCGTCGCGAGTAGGTACCTACTAAGTGAGCCATCTGTACCTAAAGGCGCCACTTTTTTTAAAATTAGGTAAGCCTTCCTGTTTATGGTAAACGACAGTTATTTATTCCCAAAACAGTTATTGGAAAGGTGTAGGTAGCAACAGTTAGTTCCCAAACCGCTTATTAGGTTGAAAATGTGTAACCACTTACTTACAAGATCTTGACAAGATTGCCGTCTTTATTGCACCTCTCTATAGCTTATAGCTACCGACTACTGTAAGTAGGTATATATTACTTTATTTGCTTAAAATTCTCAAGATATTGGTTTAACCTGAAAACTAACTAATCTCCAGCACAACAAGAGAATAAAGTTTTTCTGATACTCCTTTGAAAAACCTGTAACTTGGTCCCTGATGCGATGGCGATTACCTACCAAATAGCACTAATTAGGGAAACAGCTTGCGGGGCGCCTTTATATAAGGTCCTATTAAATTCACTGCAAATATTTTAGGGGCAGATCAAATAAAATATAAGCATGTACTAGGCAATTTTTTTCAAAAATCTACACGCTAGTTTTCGAGAAAATTGCATTTAACTTAAAAAAAAAACAAAACGAAAAAAGTGCACACTGTTTGTCCTAGAAACACACCATCACACCACTAAACGAATTTTGAAAATGAAGTTTGTTTGAAAATGAAAAAAAGAAATCTGGCGTGTCGTTTTTTTTTTAAATGCCTTAGATGTTTTTCTTATACATATTTACGCATGCCCTTAAAATATTTGCAGTGAATTTAATAGGACCTTATAGATGGCTCACTCAGTAGGTAGGTACCTACTAGCATAGCACCTATTGGCTAGTACCTACATTGTATACAGGGTGGACCATAGAGTGACGTTAATAAAAATAAATTAGATTCCCCACATCTTGAGGTATTCGAAAATACCACATGTATGTTCCGCGATTATTTTTAGTTTCCGAGTTATTCAACTTTTAAAATTGTATGGGAAAATCTCGACTGACAGTAATTTTTCCTTTCTTTTTTTTACTTCCGTATAAGGGCTTTTCGCACGGTTGATTTCATAGCACAATTTTTATGATTTTTACTTTTTAGCGTACAAAAAAAGAAAAAATGTCTGCCATTCGAGTTTTCCCATATAACTTTAAAAGTAGAATAACTCGGAAACTAAAAATAATCGCGGAACATACATGGGGTATTTTCGAATACCTACCCCAAGATGTGAGGAAGGAATCTAATTTCTTTTTATTGACATCACTTTATGGTCCACCCTGTATATAGGATGCAATTTTATTAGTGGCGGATCCGTTAAGGGTGTGTTCTGTCAATGAAACTGAACAACATTCCCCATGGAACATAGGTCGAAATACGAAGAAAAATTTTGGTCTTCCCATACTAACTGTGTTGGCCGGCCGGGTCAATTTGTATGGGAGGGCCAATTTTTTTTTTTCATATTTCCACCTATGTTCCTTGGAGAAAGTTGTTCAGTTCCATTGACAGATCACACCCTTAACGGATCCGCCACTAGAGTTGTGGAACTAAGAAGATACGAACCCCATATTTCTGGGTTTTTTGAATCGTAAATGATGTTCTTCTAACAGATTTTGACGTTTTGATAATCTTAAAAAGAAATCCTTTGAGATTTTTGACAGTACCTAACAACCCTGGCTCTGTAACAGGTGACAATCGCGAATATCCTAAATACCTACCTAGGGTCGAGTGATCCTTCTGTGAACTCTCTATTTATCGGTATAAAGTTAACTGCACTGCACTCAAACAAAATTTTTAGAATCAATGTACCTAAGATACAAGTGAATATTTTTTGTATTCACTTAGTTTAGGTTAATTAATAATTTTAAGCACCACTATACTTTATATCTGTTAATCTACTAATTGTATGTACTATTTTATTATGAAATAAATTATCTTTATCTTATCTTATCTATCTAATTATCTTTATCTTTTATTTTGTGCAAATAGTCTATAATCTCACCCACCATCACGCAATAATTTCTTCCATAAACATAAGGTAAAACAGCGGAAATGCAAGAGCAATGCAATTAATACTAATTATCAGAATTCACCGCACAATCGTCTAATTTTTACCCGACTGCCTCAGAAGGAGGGTTATGTTTTTCGAGAGTATGTATGTTATATTGTATGTATGTTTATAAGTATGTATGTGTGTGGACAAGAAAATTCTTTTTCACGGGCTTACAGCCCAAACGTATAGTTGGATTTTGACATATGAGGTGTCGTTAGATTCGTCTCAGCAGTGCGAGTGACACTGGCTATAGGTATTAAAAAATTATAGATTCCAGATGGCGGATTTCTACAGCAAAATACTACTTTAAAATTACCGCAGTCGGGTTTTTTATTTTCAAACACATCTACTTGTTTCATACAATGCACGTTGTGAAACCTATTGCTGTTTATATTAAAGTGCCTAATTATCTATACATACAGGGTGTTAGGAAAAGTAGGTAGGTACATACTGCGTTTCTTTTAACTACGAGTATTAGGTACGTGGCGGGGATCACCTACGAATTATCCTTATTCTTATAAAAATACAGTTTTATAGACGCATCGCGTTATTATTCTGTGGTTATTAGGTATGTGTAAAGCCCCATTGTTGTAGCATTAATTCAAAATTATAGCATTATTGTTATCATGCCGGTATCTTTGGCTAGGATATTATTCGTAAATGGTAAAAGGCGTATCGACTCACGATCACGACAGGATAGAATGTGGTCGTCGTAGCGAGTCGGTCGTGACGGTAAAGTCCTTTATTTTGATACTATTTTGTTTAGGTAAATGGCGCTTTTAGCTTGGGGCCAATTGTCGGCAATGTTCTTTATTTTGATTCTATTTTACTTAAATGGCGATTTTATTTTAGCTTATACTCGAAATACTCGGCCGGTGCGGTGGGTAGGTACATTTTGCATGGGTAGTCCAATTTCTTTTTACATTCGTATCTACTTAGGTACTATACTTACCTATATCCCTTGGGGAAAGTTCATGTTTCATGGAGAGGTCAGCCGCTTAGGTACCTACTTACATTTTATTTCACCTTATACAAGGTGATACAGAATTAAACTTTTTTTTTATTTAACCATAGACAGCAACCGGGCGGGATCGACAGCTCAACGTGCTCTCCACCCACGGAACCATCTTGCTTTTCGAAAAATCAGGTGGATCAGCCTGCAATGTCCTAACCAGACTGGGAACAAATTCACTAAGTGATAATTAAGTATGAACTTTTTGATCCACCGGCAATCAGACCCGGTACCTTCTGCGTTGCAGGCAGTTGCACTGCGCCACATCGGCTATCTCGGCATTACGTGGTCGATATTGGTGGATCATTTATTACAACTGTGGGATTGTATTTCTATTTTCACATAGGACACAGCAGGCAGAACCATCTGTGCCCTATGCAACGAAACTACAGGCTACAATTCTACAGGTAAAATTCGATGTACATTGCGTAGTTGGTTAGCAATTATTATCCCATTATTAAACCGGCTACGCAATGTACATCGAATTTCGCCTGTAGAATTGTAGCCTGTAGTTTAGTAACATCGGGCACTGATTGCCCGCAAATGGCTTCTTGCTTCAGAGAGCGCGTTGTATTAATTTAAAACCATTCTCCTTCGATTGATAATCCGTTCTCACCTCTCAACATACTATAACATGTAACAATCATTATTAATTTCAATCTATATTCCTACTTCGTGTGCCAGCAATCCAGCATACATTAAACTCCAATAACAAAACGAATTGTAATGGGTTTCCCATAACAAAGAAGCATGTGTTTTTAATTTAAAAACAATGCCAAGGGCTAGTTCGTCCCTTCATCATAGATTCACAAAAAAGAAAGTATACAGAAGGGTCACTCGACCCTATTTAGGATTTTTGCGATTATCACTTGTTACATTTAGGTAGGTATATAGTAGGGTTACGACTGCCAAAAAATCTTAAAGTAGGTACCTATAAGAATATCAAAACAGCAAAATCTGATATGATTCAATTTTAATCCAAGAAATATAATGTTCGTGGCTACCCAGAAAGCATATTAAGTAGGTATTCAGTTGACCAATCTTTGGATGATGAGGATCAACAATGATTTTTAATTATTAT